TTAAGTCATTCATTATTTGGGAAAATCAAACCCCTGTTACAAAGGAGAGAAGCCAAACAGGTTCAAATGAAGAAGCACCTGGAGTTTCTGAATTTTGCTATGTATTTAGCACGCGTCGTACAGCAGGTCCTGTGTTATCACTGGGACATAACCAGACCTGGATCCCTTAAGGTCTAACAGCCTTAGGGCAGAGAACATTAAACTATTGAAGAATCTGAAAACTGTGAACTGTTTATGTCACCGTGTTTTCAGGACTTTTCATGCTATAGACTGTTCTGTGGGAATGATACTGTGTATATTCTTGGATGGCATTTACCAAAAATAAATGATGGTCTCCAGGGAATTAAGATTGGTCCCAGTTTGTCGGTGAAGGGCCCCTTCTGAGTCACTCTGTCATCAGTGTGTCCAGCCACAAAATGTGTAAGAGGCCGAAAGAGCACACCAACTTGGTTCCCACATCCAGGTATATTGCAACCTTTTTATTTTTCTGAGCCCAGATTTAGATGTGCGATTTATGGATTTGTGAGACAGTAGGATAAAACTAGACATCACAGCATCACAGTTAATGACATGCCTTTATTGAACAGAATAACATGGAAAATCCAAGAATGTTGGCAACAGCTGAGCTTATGCACATCTGTGAAGGAATAGATCACACTGAGTACCTGATACATGTGGGCTTTTCATACACAATCCACGAAGGGTTACCCTTTGCCTTGCCACAGATGAAAATCGGGCCCAGAGGGGTAAGTAATTTGTCCAGGATCACACAGCTACTGCAGTCTGCCTCCAATCCCATTTCCCCCCATATCACTCAGAAACCATTGCCAACAGAATTTCCTTTCATCGCAATGGACAGGTAGGTTTCTTCTACTGGTCTACATCCTTCTGTTCAGTGATTTACTGAGTGCTTAGGTGGTGCCCAAAACAGGAAACGGGTACATAAGCCTCCTGCCCTCTGAGCACTCAGCTCAATTTCTAGATGTTTGACTAAGGAGCACACAGGTGCTGTGTTAGAGGTGGGGGAGAAAATGCTAAAGTGCAGGGTTATTTGAGGGGCACATGGGAATGTGTTGACATGCACTTTCAATTCATAGAATATTTTATTCAAGCATTTTTTAATACATATGTCTCATTTAACTATCAGAACCCAAGAGGCAGATATTAGTCCATTTAACAGAAGGAAATGGCAACAGAGAAAGTCAGGCTTGGCCCACTGAACAGGGCTGGAACCCGAGTGTCAGACTCCAAGCCCAGGGCCCTCTGCCCTGCGAAACAGCCTCAGTACAGTGAGCAGCTTTGTTTTGTCACCTTTGCCTCACACACAAAGATCTATCCTTTGCTTTCACTCCCCTGGGCCCCTGCGACAGGAGGACCCTGGAGGAGCCCTGGTGTCCAGGTGACACAAGCAGCTTTGCAGCTGTCCGCCGCAGCGCCACGCACGGTGTCACAGTCTGGGAGTCGGGCAGAGCGCCAGCTTCAGGGACGGTCTCCTTGCTCAGACACCAGAACTGGAGCCCCTCTTCAGAGATGTCCTCTCTCAGCCGCTGGAATCCTCCTTGGTCACCCCAGGGCGACTCCTTTGTGACCAGAGGTCCGTTTGGTGACAGGCAATCAGGCCCAAGGAATGCTCATTGTCTAGGACACAAAAGGATCTCAGTTCCCACAAGGCATTCCTCCTGCCGTGGCTTTAGCTTGTTGAGCACATAGCGTTCAGTTATTGCAGAAGATGAGGCTATAGCCACACAAAGCTTTGGCTTTATTGAAACCATGGCTCTACATGGGCCTAGATTTCCTCAGTCAGCCACTACTTTTTTAAATAACAACTTTTATAGTCTATATATAATTTTTTAAGTTTGGAAAAAAAAAAAAACCAAAAGATTACCTGACAAAGGTCAAAAAGAAGGGGACAGAGAAAACAACTTGTTTTATATAGATATAAAGGTGCCTGTGAACAGTTTCTCTCTGAAAAGGCATACATGAAGCTAGACATAGCAGTTGCCTCTAAGAAGGATATATGTACTTTCTTCAGAACTGGCATATTGCCCATAATATTTTGTAAGCTGCATTTTAGTAACATTTCCCCGTGTTACTAAATATTCTCCCTTGGTTCTGTGTCTGCTCTATATGGTATTAGAGGATGTGCTACAATTAACCAAGCCCTATTGCTGCACCTTAAGTACCATTTTAATGTGATAAGTTTGTATTGCACAATGTTGCACATGCTTCTGATCTAGGATAATTCCTCCCAGCACATTTGCAGGACCAAAATGGGCATGCATATGGGTCTTAAATTCTTGCCTTTTTGTTACATGGGTTCCCTCAGCAAGTTCATCTCACCAAGGAGTGTGCGCTTTACTTGTTTACTTCAAGAGTTCTGTTTCTAGGTCCTTGAAGATCATCTCTGTGCAGCAGCCTTGACTTCTAGCAACTGTCTCTCTCCTGCTTTCTCCGACAAGTGGATTCTGATTTGGCCCACTGAAGTAAGCCTCAGGGAGGCTCTGTGATGCTTAAATTTTCAGTCTCAAACAGCATTTTAAACACTATGAGATGAATGTATGATATAGTGGTCAAGTGTATACAACCTTTTTGGTGAGTAGCTGAGCAACATCAGCATTGAAAGTGCAAACCCGCTGACCTCAACACCTGTGTACACGCTAAAATTTTTAACAGTGGTTTAAAAGCACAACCAACCCAAGAGACTCCGGAGATTGGCTTCACTAAGGTATGGTAAATCCACACCACATTGTCCTATGCAGTCATTAAAGATTGACCACATGGGAACTTCCCTGGTGGTCCTGTGGTTAAGACTGCACTTCTACTGCAGGGGCATGGGTTCAGTCCCTGGTAGGAGAACTAAGATCCCACATGCCACGGTGCAGCCAACAAAAGAAAAAAGGATACAATTTGTTTGGTTCAGAGATCCTGTTAAGAATCTGGTTAAGTGCTGTGTATTTTCATCTCAAGAAAATACACGTGTGCAACAGGGCTCTCTCTCTAGTCCAATCGTGGTGGATCACAGGTTAAATTTCTTTTTGGCTGCACTGGGTCTTCACTGTTGTGCACAGGTTTCTCCTGGTGGTGGCTTCTCTTGTGGAGCACAGGCCCCAGTGCCCGTGGACTCAGTAGTCGCGACACAGGGACGCAGCCGCCCCACGGCATGGAGGAGCTTCCCAAATCAGGGATTTAACCGGCGTCCCCTGCAGTGCAAGATGGACTCTTAACCACTGGACCACTAGAGAAACCCCAGGTTAAAGCTACTTGATACAGATCTTGACTGAGACACAGCAATCACACTATCCAGATTTCTGAGCATTTATATGACAGAGAACATCCCCGTGATGGTCCCTCTGCCCAGAGTGTTCAGATAGCTGGTTCCGGAGTGTGGATCTCAATCAAACCTCACCTCCCAGGGGCCCTCTCAGATAACCGTATCAACGGAGACACTGCCCTTCTCCCTTATCATAGTCTTCACACCCTTTGGTTTTCTCAGTAACACCTTTGAGGTGATACATGTGATAACTAATTTATGGGGTCTGCCTATCTTAGCAGTGGGCTCATGAGACCAGAGATTAGGTTGGACTTATTCACTGTTTCATCCACAAGTTACATCCAACCTGCCTTTCTGTGAACCAAGGATGGTCTTTACAGGTGAACATTTGCAATCAACTGAGGACAACAAAGACTGGTTGGAATCTTCAACGAGCACTGCATTCTTCTCATTAGACCTATATTTTTTAAACGGTACTCAATTATTAAATTTTAAATTCCACCAACAAGTATTCTGGACGTTTTTATCTTTGGTTATATAAGCACCCACATAAAAGCCTCGTTTTTGGCTCTTGGCCATCAAAGTCTATAAAATACTTGCTATCTGGCCCTTTATAGAAAGCTTGCCGGCCTCTAGTCTAAGGCAATATCTCGTGTACAGGAGACAAATCATAAGCGTCAGATGGGAGAAACTACGAAACAACAGAAAAGAAACGTATCTAAAACACACAGACATCCATTTCCACAAAAAAAGATACCGCATAACCAACCAAGTATTAACGTGAACAAAGCTATCTCAAGAGCGTCAGGTTACCGCGCAAGTCCACAGTTTACATGTTTCTAACGCATACTGCTGCTTGTTACCTTAGCCCACAATTGGCATACATTAACATCATCGTTTTGGAAGCACTGTAACTGCATCTTTCAGGATGGCGCCGTGGCCTCCGGACGCGCGGTGTAGAGGGCCCAGCACCCGCAGGTCTTGGGCCCTTGCTCCATCACCGCTGCTTAAACGACTGCACAAAAGCCAGGGGAGCCCCAAAGGGGCGCACTCGGAGGCTGGCGGAGGTGAGGGTAGGGGTTTCCCTCGCCTTAAAATCTTATCAAACCGCTGGATCGAGGAGAAGACACCGAACGGAAGGATCTCTTGAACCTCAACAAGCCAGTTCCATCCCTGCGAAGCCCACAGCTTCCCGCTTCGGCTTCTACCTCCGGGAGGGCCCGGGGGGGGGGGGGGATGTGACAGGAGCCGCGTCCAGGAGCCTCCCTGACGTACCTCACCTCCTATTTTCCTCACCGTCGCCCCGCGAGGAGAAAAGAGGCCCTGACATGGGCAGGAATTCCCCAGGTTCCCTATTCCCGCAGAGAACGCGGCCAGTCAAGCCCTAGGATTGCAACGCGGACAGCCCGCCAGCGGCTAACGGTCGTCCGCGCCATTCCAGCCATTGCCCGGCGTTCGCGCAACAGGAACCCACTCTGCACATGCGCGGAAAAGCCACCGCTAGTGCGCATCGCTAGCCCCTCCCGCACGCCCAGCCACGCGCAGTTTCTTCCCGCCCGCCCCGTGCCCTCACTTCCGGGGTTTCCTGGCGACGGCCGTAAGTGGAGGGAGGAGGCAGCGCGCGAGGCCAGCCGTAAAAGACTCCCTCGCGCCACTTCCGGCCGGCTTCCGCAGACGGCTCTGGTGGGCGATCGTGAGGCGCCGGAGGACGTTCCCCACGGCCGGAGCCATGGAGATGCCGCTGCCGCCAGACGGTGAGGCCCAGTCCGAACTCGGGGCCCGTTGATCTCTCCCCGAGATCCCCGGCTGACTCTCCCCGCCTCCTGGGGTCCCCGGGCCTAGGAAGGGGCGGGGCTCGGCCTCCGGGGTTTGCCCGCGGCCTCTCCCGCGGGTCCTCGCATTCCCGGCGCGCTTCTGGCCCCTATCGGGACCCGTACTAGGGCGGCCTCTCCGGGGCCCACCCCTAGGGACCCCAACCAGCGGACGCGGGCTGGGAAACCAGGGCCCCCGGATTTGGGCGGTCCTCGCTGACGCCCCGTGTGGCCTTTTCTGCGTCCTCCAGACCAGGAGCTCCGAAATGTCATCGACAAGCTGGCCCAGTTCGTGGCTCGGAACGGGCCCGAGTTTGAAAAGATGACTATGGAGAAGCAGAAAGACAACCCGAAATTCTCTTTTCTGTTCGGAGGCGAGTTCTACAGTTACTACAAGTGCAAGTTGGCGCTGGAGCAGCAGCAGCGTGAGTCCTCTCCAGCTCTCAGGCCGCCCCCTCTAGCCCTTTCTTTCTCCGATTCCATCTCGGGCTCTGGTAGAGCCCTATTAGGGGCTTATTTGGGGCCCCCAAACGCCTTATTTGGGGTCGCATGCTATTTCTTTGTGAAAATGGGTTAGTTCGGCATGTACGATCCTTTCCGCTGTTCCTGGAGTCCTGCAGCCTTGAGGCTGCAGGGTCCGAGTGTCATGGAGAACGAGGTTATTGATCTTCCTTCTGTGCTCGGAATCAGGAATTCCTGTTGTTTTGCAAACATGACTGATGTCACCGAGCGGAGTGCTTCAGTGTTTTACAGAGAGGAAGTGATAGAAGCCAGGCTGAGTGGGACCCTCCGGACAAATACCGGCTCTCTGGGGCGTCCAGCGAGGTTTTTGTGCATTTCTGGTGGTTGCAGTCCAGATCAAAATGAATTGTCCTGTGGACTTTACTACTTGGCTGCTGTTTATGTTCACTGGTTTGTGCTTCAGGAACCCGGCCTTGCCCTTAAAGAGTTTAAGATGGAATTTGTTATCACAACTAGCCTATGAATGACAAATATAGACACCAGATAGATAGTCCCTGAGCTCACTTCTGTCTTGTTCAATAGCAAATCCCTAGCTTCTAGATACCATTATGTTTTTAGATTGCCAAGCAGTTGGGCATTGAAAGGTGAATGCTCCCTGGACTACAAGCTCCTTGAGGCCAACCAGACCTTGTTTGGGACATTATTGTGCCTAATAGGTAGCGTGTAGTGGATGTTCTTATGGCAAAAGTACAGTGGCTTGAACAGGCACAGTGTGTTTTGAGAGCTGAGAGAGAAACCAAAGCATAAGAGATCCAGCATGGCACCTAGACATGTGTAGACAGGAGAAGCGTTTGCTCTGGAGTGGGAAAGTTTCCAGGGGGAAAGTTTGGGCTTTCTTCCTTTGTTCAGGGGTTCTTCTGGTGCCTGTTGAGGTTTTTCGCTTGTTTTAATATTTATTTAGCTGTGGTCCGTGGGCTCCAGAGCTCAGGGGCTCAGTAGTTGTGTTGTGAGAACTTGAGTTGCCTGTGGCATATGGGATATCAGTTCTTGACTGGAAATTGAACCCACATCCCCTGCATTGGAAGGTTGATTCTTAACCACTGGACCACCAAGGAAGTCTTGCCTGTTTAGGTTGGAGATGTGATTAGCGGAGATCTGTTGCCTAAAATTGTAGGCAAAATGTACCCACTTACCTATGTGTTTCTGGAACAAACCGTTCCTTAGCCTCAGCCCATCAGGTTTGAAACCCCTGGTATAGGCAGTAGGGAACCACGAGAGAGGCTGAAACAAGGAAGAGGTGGGTTGGGTCTGTGTGGCCTCTGTGGCGGACAGGCTGGAGGGAGCATGAGTGGAGACGGACCAGTGAGGCTGGCAGCTGGTGATAAGGTCTGGATTAAGTCAGTGAGTTGAGTAGAGAAAGTGGGCCTGGGGACAGCTAGGGTTAGGGGGTAGAATACATGAACTGAAATGCCAGTTGGCTATTGATGTGGGTGATATAATTGGGCGAGGGAGGACTGTGTTTGGGTTCGAGTGACCATGAGGCGAGAGATGCGTCTTCTTCAAGGGGAGCCCACTCCCACTCTGGAAGGTCAGCAGTCGGAGGTGGCTTGGGACTTGGTGCCATAATGTGGGGAGCTTGGGGTGCTTCTAGCAGGCGAAGATGGAAGCTCAGGGTATCTCAGGTAATGTCAACAGTATCTCTGTTGACATTAAAGTCTGTGACAGAGTTAACCAAGTAGAAACTGAGGAGACAAGAGTGTTCAGACAGAAGATGGAACCTTAGGAGGGGCTGAGGAGTAGTAGGAACAGAAGCTCAGGGTTCCCAAAGCCCAGAGAATGAGTGATTCTTGGAGTGGCCAGAAGTGAGGGTGCAGAGCAGGGATGGCTGGCTTGAAAAGGACTTAGAAATTCTGGAAGCTCTGGGGAAGCTCTGGAAGGGTTTTGGTACTGTGTTCTGGAGTAGGGCTAGCCACTATGTAGCTAGCCTGGTGTTTTGAGAAGACTGAGTCCCGGGACTGCTCAGGAGTTACACCCTACAGACTCTAGTAAAGGACTGGTTTTGTTTTTGTTTTTTCCAATTTGTTGCAGAAAGTACAGTTTTGCAAAGTACAATAAAAATGTGAACTTGTATGAGAGTTCCCTGGTGGTCTAGTGGTTAGGACCTCGGTGCTTTCAATGCCGGGGCCCAGGTTCAGTCCCTGGACAGGGGACTAAGATCCTGCAAGTTGCACGGCACAGCCAAAAAAAAATGTAAACCACGAAACAGCAGAGTGCTGTGAAAGCGCCCAAACACTCCGCCGCTATTTCTCTGCTTGTCTCGGTGTCACATGGGGCTGGCCCCTCGGACCCCACTTGAATCAGCAGCATTACGGCCATGGGGTAGAGAAGAGGAAAGGGGTCAGGCCTGGGTGTGGGGAAGCCAGTTCCTAGGGTCATGCGGGTCAAGGCAGAGTCGTGGCAGAGATGGCAGCACACAGAGGGGTGTGGTCTAGGAGGGTGACTTGACTCCGTGGGGCAGCTGGTTAGCTGGGGTGCAAGGGAGAGAAAGGTGCACGAACTTCACTTCTGGTTTGGGTAAGTGGTGTGGCTGTGCCAGCCATGGATCAGGAGTGGGGCTTTGGAAGGGGTGGGGCACAGGCTGAGAGGAAACCATACCTGTTTGAGGCATCTGCAGAAAATAGTGGCTGTTTGGTCTAAGGTTAGACCTAAAGCCTGAGGAATCCAGGATGCCACTGATAGACTTAGGGGTAATAGAGCAGTGGTCCCCAAACTTTATGGCATCAGGGACCAGATTCATGGATGACTGTTTCTACAGACAGTGGGGGCAGGGGGGGACTGGTTTGGGATGACGCAAGTGCCTTATACTTGTGCACTTTATTTGTATTATTATTACATTGTGATATATAATGAAATAATTACACAAGTCACCATAAGTAGATCATCAGGCATTAGATTATTCTCATAAGGAGCCCGCAACTTGGATCCCTCACATGCGTGGTTCACAGTAGGGCTCATGCTCCTGTGAGAATCTAATGCTGCCGCTGATCTGACAGGAGGCGGAGCTCAGGAGATAATGGGAACGATGGGGAGCAGCTGTAAATACAGATGAAGCTTCGCTTGCTCACTGCTCACCTGCTGCCGTGCGGCCGGGTTCCTCACAGGCCGAGGGTTGGAGGCTCCCTGTCATAGAGTGCAGATTGTCACTGCAGCCACAGGAATACATCACGTTCCCCTGGAGGCTTGCTCAGAGAAGAGTCTAGTTCACAGTCCAGGCATCCAGCATGTAAGAGTCAGACAGAGGAGGGAAGGAGACAGTCATACCGGCCACGTGCGACAAGGAGCCGAGACGGGGCCATCTGGCTGAGTGGGAATGGCTGCAGTTGCTTTGGGGGTGGGGTGGGCAGGCAGAGCCCAGGCCTCTGTGGGTTGAGATAAAGAGGAGAACTGAAGATGAACCTTGGCTGTCAAATTGTTGGATGGAGAGGCACAGGCTGAAGGGGGTTTGTAAAGATTGAAAACTCCGCAGTGACTAGATGCTAATAGACAGAGCCAGTAAAGATAGAAAATGAAAGAGAGCAACGGGACACATTTGCTGAAGCAGCGTGGGACATGATCCAGACAGCACGCCGGGGTGATCCCATGGGGTGGCCTTGGGTGCAAGGACCAGGAAGCCCACCTCAGACCTAGGCGCCCTATGATGGGCCCCGGGCAGCACTCTCCACCACACTGTTTTCTTTGGCTGGGCCCCCTGGCGGTGGGCCTCAGAAGGGCTCCAGCAGAGTATGATCATGTTCAGACCAGATGAGGCCCAAAGGCAGAGGGGGAAGCCATCTGTCCAGGGACCCTTCCCCAAGTCCTCCCTTCCTGTCTTATCTGGCAAGGTTCGGGGCCTGCACTTGCCCATCCTGTCTCCTGCCAGCAGGATGGGGCAGCCCACGCTGCCTCAATCTGGATTGACCCCTGAACGCAGAAGAGTAGAGTCTGGAAGGGCAGGCGAGGGGCCCAGTGTGGGGAGGCCACTGCGTGTGTTGGGTTGCTGACGCACTCCTCCCATGGGGCTGCAGGTGTGTGGGCTTGCTGGTTGGCCCTCCAGAGGCTTGGTAGCTTTGATATCTGGAGAGAGAAGAGTAGACTGGGGGACAGCAAGTGAGGACGCTTGGGGTCAAGAGACCCCCTTGAGGAGGGACTATTCAGGCCCAGGCGAGGGTGGAAGGGGTGGCTTTGGGCTCCTGGGCCAAAGGACTGCAAGCAAGGCCAGATGGTGTTAGCTGGAAAGTGGAGAGATGACCATCCCAAAGGTCTCCGAGGAACGGGCGAGTGGAAGCGGCCCAGGGCCAGGCCCTGTGAGACAGGTCAAACGTAGCTGGGACAGGTCGCAGGGGTCCTCTTCTGGGGGGTGAGTGTATGGAGGGGAGCTGCCCAAGTGGTTGCCAAGGGGATACCTGGACCCCCGCTGCCCCCTCACAGGGGCTGCCTCTCCTCCTCTCCTGCCAGTCATCTGCAAGCAGCAGGCCCCGGAACTGGAACCGGCTGCGACCCTGCCTCCCCTGCCCCAGCCCCCGCTGGCCCCTGCTGCACCCGTCGCACCCGCCCAGGGCACCCCGTCCATGGACGAGCTCATCCAGCAGAGCCAGTGGAACCTGCAGCAGCAGGAGCAGCACCTGCTGGCCCTCAGACAGGTACGGGCCGCTCCTCCCGCCCTACCCCTCCTCCCTAGGGGTACCCAGCACTCACCTCTGCCTCAGGTTCGCATCTGTGCACTGATGCTGATAACAGGCGTCAGCACTGAGGATGGGGATGTCCCATTGCCCAGGGCTTGGTGCGAGACAGCCGTCACTCCTCCAGCGCCGCCACCACCTTTGCTGTGTTTAGCTCGGACCCTAAGGTTGCGTCACCCCCAGCAAGGTCACTGCATAGGCTCTGACACACGCACGCCCCCATCATGCTGGAGTGGATGCTGACAAGCGAGCCTGCACATAGGAGATGGTGTGACGGAGAACGCCAGGTGGCCTCTGGGGCCATTGGCACTAGTTCCTGCCCGTTAGGAGGCTCTTATGAGGTGGACCCTTTTGTCCCAGCCCATCACAGTCTGGTACTTTGGCCAGATACAGTAAGATGAACTGCCAGAAACACAAGATGAATAAAAGAACACTTGAAACACCAGCCCCAGTTTTATTACTGGAGTTGAGATGCAAGTTGATATATTGGAAACAAAACACTCCAGAATGTTCATTCTCAGTTTGCACGTGGAGCTCTTCACACACCGGGCAGCCCAGCCTCAGCCAGCCCTGGGCTGACGGCTTGTCCCCCCAGCAAGGCTGGGTCTCAGCCACATCTCGGTTTGCCAGTCTGACGGACAGAAGTCTGGCATCACGTTTTGACTTGGGACTCCTGGCTGCTAGCGAAACTGCTCTGCTCTTACCTGTCTGGTGTGTTTACGTGTGTCCCCTCCATGCCTTGCTCACACCCGCCACTCGTTTTTCTTCCTGTTTTTGGTGAGTTGACGTGCAGAGGTTCCTTGTTCCTCTGGGTCTTAACCTTTCTATCTGTCCCCTCTCGGGGGACATTGTCTCCCCTGTGTCTTGCCTGGCTTCACCCTCTGCCTGCTCTTGAACTGTGGCGTGACTCCGATGCGTGTCTCAAGCTTCTGGTGTGGATGCTGGGGGCGGGCCACGCAGAGGCCAGCCTGGGTGTGCCTGCGCCGGGGGCCTCTTCATGCCATCTTGGTGTCACCCGGCCTTCCAGGAGCAGGTGACAGCAGCCGTGGCCCACGCGCTGGAGCAGCAGATGCAGAAGCTCCTGGAGGAGACGCAGCTGGACATGAACGAGTTTGACAACCTGCTCCAGCCCATCATCGATACCTGCACCAAGGATGCCATCTCGGTGAGGATGGGGTGGGGGCGCAGGCATACTCCCAGAATCTGGTGCTCCTGGTGAGGTAGGGGCTCCCACAGCCTGTCTGGGCCGGGGCTACTCTCGGGGCACCCCGTTTCTCCCCCTGCTTTCTGCCTGAGCAGTTCTGTGGGTTCCCCCGCCGAGAGAGAGGGAGGGTGGGTGGAGATTCCTGGGCACTCCCGGGCATCTGCACACCCTCAGACTTGGGGAAGCTGGCCCCGCTTCACCCACTGTCCTGGCTGTTGCAGGCCGGGAAGAACTGGATGTTCAGCAATGCCAAGTCCCCGCCGCACTGCGAACTTATGGCAGGCCACCTCCGCAACCGCATCACGGCCGACGGGGCGCACTTCGAGCTGCGGCTGCACCTCATCTACTTGATCAATGACGTGCTGCACCACTGGTGAGCGCCCGCCAGCCCCGCCGTCCCCCGCTCCTCCGCCCCCTCCCGGCCACAGCTCTGCCCGCAGGAGCCCGGCCTGTCCTGGGGCCAGGGATCCCTCTTCTAAAGAGGGTCGGTCTGAGCCACAAGCCGCCCGCGGGGAGGACAGCCACCCCCTCTCCCCTCACACACACCCCCTCGGCCCCTACCCCGCACCCCTCCTGAGGCCGCTGTCCCCTTGCGCCTTGCTTTCGGGGCGGCTTCTGCGGGCTTCCAGTGTCTGTTAGCCGCCTTGTTCATACCTGCCACTCGCTCTTCTTTCTTCACTGATCTGTACACGTTCCGTTGCCCTGACTGCACTCTGCTTCAGGAGTCCCCAGGGGGCCTCCCAGCTAACCCTGTGCCCCAGCCCAGAAACTTGCCTCCCCTCACCACCCAGCCATCCTAAGGCCGGGCCAGTACGTACTATCTCATGGTCTTTTTGGTGTCTTACGACAAAGATTAAGTCCTGAAACCAGTGCCTGGGCCAAAGACAGGTGGAAGCTCACGGGGCTAGTGAGGCTAGCCTGTCGCTGTGAAGACTGGCTGCCACATTTGACCTTGAACTTGAGCGGCTGAAGGGACAGCTCCCATGAGGGCAGCAGGCTCAGACCTGGCTCTTGCCCCCTTCCACCTGCGTGCAGCTGGCCCGCCACTCCCTTCTTCCTGGGCCACGCGGGTAGTTCCTCTTCCACTCCGCGCTCCCTGCCTCACCTGCCCTTATTTCTCTGCCACTGGGAAACTAGCAGCTGCTTGGAACCTTGTGTGCCCTTCTGCTCCACCAGCCGCTCCATGGACTCAGGGCAGCTCGGCAGAGACAGCCCTGTTTCTGGCACTTCTGCAGCCATGCCCTCCCGAGCCCTGCTGCCGGGAAGCCCAGTGCTGCCAGCCCTGTCCTCCTGCCTGGACTGCCCTCCCCCAGCCCGGCCTCCCGGCCCCTGGCCCTTGCTGCTCTCTCTGAGCTCCTTCGGGTGGACTCACCCCTTCCTTCCCAGGCTCTGACACCTCATGCAGCCTGGGGAGTCCCCACACTCACTGACAGCCACCCCCCGCCTGCACCCTTCTCCTGCGGACCCGACTCCTAGGCCCCCTGACAGCCCACGCGCTCCCTCCTGGAAGGCGGGGTCCCTGCCCAGATTGCCTTGTGCAGAGAGGGTGGCTGTGCTGAGCAAGGCTTCAAGGACTAGGCCCCGCGCCCATGCCTGCGCCAGCCAGCCCTTGTAGGCGGCAGGGGCTCTCACCAGCCCACACCTGGCAGTCCTCAGGCCACCCTGGGAGGGCAGGGTCACGGTGCTGATGTGGGAGCCGGGGGGACTGGCCGTGCTCTGCGAGCCCCTGGGCTGTGTTCTTTCCCACCACCGTCTGTCCCTCGGGCCCGGCTGCCAGCACGGCTCTCGTGGGGGGCCCAGCCCTTGTCCCAGCCAGGTTGGGGGCCCATTTCCCGAGAAGGCAGAGGGGGCTGTGGCCGGAGCCGCGATGGTAACGGGCGCGTGGCTGGGTCCCGCCCCAGGGCCCTGACGCGCGGAAGGTCTCTCCCTCACAGCCAGCGCAAGCAGGCCCGGGAGCTGCTGGCCGCCCTGCAGAAGGTCGTGGTGCCCATCTACTGTACCAGCTTCCTGGCCGTGGAGGAGGACAAGCAGCAGAAGATCGCCCGGGTATGCAGGGCAGCCGGGCGGGACGGGGCAGGGCAGGGGCTGGGGGCGTGTGCACTCGTCTTCCCTTGACAAGCCTCTCCCTTCTCCACGTCCAGCTCCTACAGCTCTGGGAGAAGAACGGCTACTTCGACGACTCCATTATCCAGCAGTTACAGAGCCCGGCTCTGGGGCTCGGCCAGTACCAGGTGGGCTCTGCTCCCTGAGGCTGGGGGGCTGGGTGGTTCCCTCAGGGTCCTGGTGGCATCTTCCAAACCAGATTCCCAGGGGTGCCCTGGTGTGGTGGTGAGCAGCAGGAGGCAGGGTCTGGGGAGCAGCATTGGGGCCCACCCCCTCCACGACAGCCAGTGCGCTCTCCCTGAGGGAGCCCGCCAGGGTGTCTCCTGGCATGCCATGACCAGGTTACCTGGTGCAGGCCCTGCTCTCGGGGATGTCTTCGGCCCGTCTGCCCTGGTCCTCCAGGCATGATAGGATCGTGCGGAAAACCTTGAGTAATCTAGGCTGCCGTGGTCATTGTGTCGGGCACAGGGTCCCCTGTGTGCCTGAGTGCTTCACTCAGAGGGGCATCTGCTCAGAGGACAGGGTTGCAGGACAGGGAGAGGAGGGCCAGATCTCCTTGGTTCCCTCTGCCGTGGCTCCGGCATTGTACCCCAGCGAGAGCTGTCCAGATAAAAGGCACAGCTCACACCCCTGTTTGTCAGGCTGTGAGGTGTCGTCTTGCACATCAAGAAGTGTCAGAAGCCACATGTTGACCGTTCCCCCTGTGATGCTCCTGACCACCACCCTCCCTACAGGGGAGAAGCTTTCGTGCTCAGAGAGGCAAACAAGGAAAGTGCATCTCAGGCTTTTTTAAAATTCCCACCTTTTTTGTTGCTAATTAAGAACGGGCTCACATCACCATACCACAGTGATACTCCCTGCTTTTCTTTTCTTGAGTTGGTGGCAGTAGCTCATGGTTACTGAGCCATCCTGGTCCCGTTCACTGTATTATGTCTCCTAATCGTCAGAGGTAGGTGCTGTTGTTGTCCCATTTTACAGATGAAGAAATTGAGGCCCCAGGGAGGTAGTGACTTGTTCAGAGCCGTATGGCCTGTGAGCCTGTCCTAGGATGTTTGTCAGTGGTGGGGTTTTAATGTGTGTGTGTCAGCCTAGGGCATGGCTGTCCTTGTGTATCCCCTTTGTGAGGGGATTCTAAGCTACCACAGCACTGATCATTACCAAGTCTGGTTAGATTGAGATGCTCTCTGGTTATCAAGCCCAAGTTGATTATTTTACATGACGATCCCACGCAAGCCTTGGATCCCTGGACCTTGCTGCCCACAGCATCACCGCAGTCTTCTGGGTGCTCCCCAGGCGTTTTTCCCTGTGCTGCTCCAGAGGGTCTCAGACCTTGAGTCCCACATGCTGAGCGCTGGTTTCCATGCTCTCCCCCAGGCGACCCTCATCACTGAATACTCCTCAGTGGTCCAGCCAGTGCAGCTGGCCTTCCAGCAGCAAATCCAGACCCTGAAGACCCAACACGAGGAGTTTGTCAACAGCCTGACCCAGCAGCAGCAGCAGCAGCAGCAGCAGCAGCAGCAGCAGCAGATCCAGATGCCGCAAATGGAAGCTGACGTCAAGGCCACACCACCGCCACCTGCCCCACCCCCAGCCCCCACACCCGCCCCGGCCATCCCACCCACCACCCAGCCTGGTACGTGGCTCCCTCAGCACCCACCCCCAGGAGGCAGCCTCCAGAAAGCAGTCTTCTTTCCCAGGAAGGGCTCGGGTTCTGTCATCTCAGGCCCAGTCCTGGGATCAGGTTCTAATCTACTGAAAAGCACCAGGCAGGTGATTTCACGGATAAATGTAGCCCAGCCCTTGCACGTGAGACAGCTGTATAGAAACCATCCCAGAGAATGGAGAGGAAGACTCTCTAAGTCACTTTCTAGGCCAGGGTGACTTACATGAGATGCACATGAGCAGGGAAAGAAGTTTTTTAAAAAGACGTCAAGTACTTAAGAGAGCCAATGAAGTGAGATTATTACAGTCTAGGAAGATCTGGATCTGTTGCGATGATAATTTTGAAAAATGTTAATCCATTGTCACTTCTGAGCAGAGATGAAGAAATGGTAAATAAAGTTTTAGCAAGTGAAATCAAGCAAAGGATTTAAAAGGTACATCATGATCAAATAGGGTATGTCTCAGGAATATGTAAGGACAGTTTAATATTAGAAGATCTGAAACGTTCCTAATGGTCCAGTGACTAAGACTATACGTTCCCAATGTGGGGGCTCGGGTTCCATCCCTGGTCAGGGAACTAGATCCCACATGCCACAACTAAAACCCGGCACACCTAAATAAATAGAAAATCTTTTTTAAATACTAAAAAATCTAACAAAATGATTGGAAAGAAATGATCTTTCAGCTAGATGCAGAAAGTGTATTTAATAAAACAATGATAGAAATCTTTAAGCAGACTAAAATCAGCATGGCATAGCAGTCAGTAAGTAGGATACTTATTGTCAAGCTTTCAAAGAAGAGAGGTGTGTATCCCGAACAAGTCTTCTATCTGTGCTGCATTCCCTGAGTCAGTGGCAATTTTCCGTGGGGTCAGAAACCAAGGGTTTATTGGGCAGTAAAGCCCAGCCTTGCTAGGCCCTGGGTGCTTGCTGAAGATCATTTCAGGGGGTGCTTCCTGCCACCCCCTTCTCTGACTGCTCTTTTGTCTGGTTCTAGATGACAGCAAGCCTCCCATCCAGATGCCCGGGTCTTCCGAGTACGACGCCTCAGGAGGGGTTCAGGACCCAGCCGCCAGCGGCCCCCGTGGCCCTGGGCCCCATGACCAGATCCCACCTAACAAGCCCCCGTGGTTTGACCAGCCTCACCCCGTTGCTCCTTGGGGCCAACAGCAGGTATCTCTTAGAACTTGCCACTGGGGTAGGTGGGTGGCAGGCAGGTGTGTGCTGGCCCTGTGTGGGCTCATGGGCCTTTAGCTGATTCTGCAGCAGGACACGGGGTGGCGGGGGCGGCCAGAGGGTGGGGACAGAGCTGAGGAGGAAAGTTGGGCCTTTGAATCCTTCCTGGCCGTTTGGGTTGCCGCACGTTCACACGAATGCTCAGGAGGTTCACAGTGTGGAGTGTAGCGTGGTGACATGTTTCCTTCCTTTTTTAACTGGTTCGACCAGCAGTGTCAACATCTCATCACCTTAGAAAGGACGCGGTGCTTAGAATGGAAAGGGATGTAAAGAGCGTTCAGCCGGCAGTGTTTTCTGGGGCTGGAACACTGATCCATCCCTCCCTCCAGGTTCCTTGGAGTCAGACTCATAGGCCAGGGCGGGTGCACCTCATTCAGCAGAGCATGACTGGAAAGCAGCCCACAGTTTGCTGTCCAGGCCTGGGCCTGGTCAGAACATACAGGTCCAGCTCTGGGCGTCCACTCGCCTATGGGCCGGACATGCTAGATGTGGCCCTCCCTCGTGACCCTGTGTGGAGGGGGTTGCATAAGGGGATGGCTCTGTGCTGACGAGTAAGGGATCGTGGCTGTGATTTGCCCCCCTCCCCCCAGCCCACCCTCAGCTTCACAGAGGATTAGGCATCCGCACAAAACGGCTCCCACCCTTGGGTTGTGGGTGCCTGTGGTGACAGGCAGGTTGTGGGCACCCTCTGATGTGGGGCGCTCCTGCCCATTCTGTTGCTGCGGAAACAGATGTGCCTCGGGTCTCCTGGCCCAGTCTTCCTGGGGACCAGCAGGTTAGGCTCACAACAGTGGGGCTCCCTCACTGGAGGCCAGCAGTGTGCCTACCATCCACGGTAGGACACCACGGCCTGGCCTGCCCACATGGCATCTTGCATGTTTTGAAATAGTTGTTACATTGAAAATCTGGCTTTTGGGCTTCTCTCAAAAGAGCTGAGGGTGCGGTGGCCTGGGCCGGCCTTCCAGCCGTGCTCCTGGAGGTGACCCTCTGGGCAGCCTCACGCTGGCCCTGAGTCTGGGTTGCGATCCCGGCTCATTGAGTGTTGAGAGCAGCAGCCGGGCAGGCTCTGGAACTTACTCTCTTCAGCTCACGGTAAGACAGGTCCTGGTGGTAGAGCAGATGCTGAGACGGGATGAGAGAACCGCGTTGGGGAGAGAAGTGACGGGAGGAGGAACAGGCAGGCAGGGGTGTGGTCAGGGCAGGGGTTGGCCATGGGCCTGGTGGCTCAGCCTGCGCACCCGGGGAGCACTGGGGAGGCACCCCTGCCCCGTGCCGCTAAGGGGCTCATGGACGGGTGGGCATTCCCCCGCTCCTGTCAGGCGTCAGGTAGGGGTGTGCCCCAGCCCCAATGTGGGTGCAGCATTTTAGATTCTGGGCCCGGGGTGCAGGCAGGCGCGGCCGCACCCAGTGGGCTGGAGGCCTGCAACTCACGGTGCTGGGCCTGCAGCCGGACACCAGTGTCGGCAGGTGGCTGCCGCGCACCCTGGGCGCCCGGCGCGGGCCAGGACTCACCTCTGCTCTTTGCCTTGCAGCCTCCTGAGCAGCCGCCCTATCCACACCACCAGGGCGGGCCACCCCACTGCCCCCCCTGGAACAACAGCCACGAGGGCATGTGGGGCGAGCAGCGCGGCGACCCCGGCTGGAATGGCCAACGCGATGCCCCCTGGAACAGCCAACCTGACCCCAACTGGAACAGCCAGTTCGAGGGCCCCTGGAACAGCCAGCATGAGCAGCCGCCCTGGGGTGGGGGCCAGCGCGAGCCGCCCTTCCGCATGCAGCGGCCGCCGCACTTCCGCGGGCCCTTCCCTCCCCACCAGCAGCACCCGCAGTTCAACCAGCCACCACACCCCCACAACTTCAACCGCTTCCCACCCCGCTTCATGCAGGACGACTTCCCCCCACGACACCCCTTCGAGCGGCCGCCCTACCCTCACCGCTTCGACTACCCCCAGGGGGACTTCCAGGCTGGTGAGTGTGAGATCACCCTTGGGGGGGCGCGGTCCATCCTGGGGCCAGTGAACACATCCTCACCTGTCCCGAGATCCCTGAGGTCGGCTCACTCGCTGGCCTGCCCTGTGACCTGGCATGCCCCGAGCCAGGGTGGCAGGCAGACGGGTTGTAGGGCGACAGAGAAGCCCAGCCCAGGCCCTGAGGAAGGGGGAAGGTGAGGGCACCTGCCACACGTGGGCTGGCTGATTCTGTGTTTTGTAAAAAATTTCATTTCTACTCTGCTTCTGCCTGGAATTTCAAATCCATTCTTGACTATAAATTGAGCTGGGAGGCCGTAGGTTTATTGCTCATGTGCAGTGTCCCAGGGCCGCTGTAACAGGGCCACAGGCTGGCTGCCTCCTACAGCAAGGAATTCTCCACAGTTAGTTCTGGAGGCTGGAGCTCTGAGATCAGGGTGTCAGCTGGGTTGGTGTCTCCTGAGACCTCCTGGTGGCCCATAGATGGCAGACCTCTCCTTGTGTCTTCTCTGTGTGTTAATCTCCTCCTCTTATAAAGATACTAGTCAGTATTGCATCAGGGCCCACTCACAGGACCTCGGTTCCTCAGGACTAGGAGGGAATTTGCAGGGGAATTTGCACAGTTTGGGTCATAACATGGCTCTTTGAAGGGTATGTGATTTTCCTGTGGTTCCTTCTTTCACCCCTGAGGTCTGTTAGATGCGGCTGTGTGTAGGACAGGCCACCGCCAGCCCCAGCTGTTCCTCAGGGCTGAGAATGAAGCAGTTAGAGCGAAGGTGCTGGGAGGTCTGCTGGCACTGCCCAGCTCTTGACTTGCCAGCAGGCCTGAGTGCAGTTTCTGTTTTGCAGAAATGGGACCCCCTCACCACCACCCCGGCCACCGCATGCCTCACCCTGGGATCAACGAGCACCCGCCTTGGGGTGGGCCCCAGCACCCTGACTTCGGCCCTCCGCCCCACGGCTTCAACGGGCAGCCCCCTCACATGCGGCGACAGGGCCCTCCACACATCAACCATGACGACCCCAGCCTGGTCCCCAACGTGCCGTACTTCGACCTCCCTGCTGGACTGATGGCCCCCCTCGTGAAGGTAACGATGCCGAGCTGAGCCCCAGGCTTCACTGCACGTGCTTGGTCTCCAGGGGGGAAGTTCGCGGGTAGGACCCATTTCCCCCTTGGCTGCAAGACGCTGTTTCCCAGGCCCCTTTCCCCCGTTTCCTGCACCTCAGTGAACTTGGCCAGCTTGTCATTAAGGGTGTGCCTAAGTTATTGACCCCACCTCACACGCGGCCGTGGGCAAGGCCCGTGTCCCTCTGCTCCTCTGAGCGTCCGTCGAGGGCTGCAGGTTTGGTAGCTGATCAGAGAAGGATGGGTGTGGGGGGGCGGTCCTCTTGGGCCTGACCTTGGAAGCCGCCTTGTCCAGGGACTGAGGACAGGGTTTTCTCAGAAAAGGGGCGGACACCAATCGAGCAAGGCAGCAGAGGGTGTCGAAGGGAGCCAGGGCTCAGGACGCTCTGGTCACGGCCCCGCCCTGGGAGTTGAGACAGGGCACACGGGCAGCGTGGAGAGCTAAAGGCCGAGGGGCCAGCAGGGCTGCCCTTGGGGTAGGAGCTGGAGCAGGAAAGGGGGCACAGAGCCGGGCCCCTGCGGTGGGCATCTGGGGTCCACAGAGTGTCTGGATAAACAGGGTCTGTGTATTTTTGGTAGAGAGAGGATTCTGTAGCTTTTCTTGGCTCCCATGGAGCCCTCAACCACCCCATTCAGGAACTGAATCATTGGTGTGGCTGAAGCCCTACAAGAGGATGGGGTTTCCCAAGAAGGGCTGCCTGAGGCACTCTGATGCCCAGGACAGCTGTCTGCTGCCCCGCAGTTCCCCGGGTGGGATGGGCCTGGGGTGGCTGAGGCAGGGGACAGTGACAGCGTGTTTTTGCTGCAGCTGGAAGACCACGAGTACAAGCCTCTGGATCCTAAAGACATCCGCCTCCCACCCCCCATGCCGCCCAGTGAGAGGCTGCTGGCGGCCGTGGAGGCCTTCTACAGCCCGCCCTCCCACGACAGGCCCAGGAACAGGTATGGTGCTCCTGGAGTCCAGCTGGGGCGCTGGCAACAGGAGGGGAGGCTGCTGTCCCCTCCCGGCCTGTCCTCCCGAGTCTTACTTCACCAGAAACTCATAGCAGTCACACCTTCTTCCCTGGGGTGGTGTGAGGAATCGTGACTAGGCGGGCCCACTTCTCCCCCAGCTCGCATGTCACACGTGTGGTGCCCTCGATAAAAAGCTTTTACCACACTAGACAAGAGCTTCCCTCGGGAGGGTGTTTCAGAGACAGCCAGCTGCTGCCCAATGGGCTTTGTCACAGGCGGCCCTCGGGAGCCTCCCCCCGGTGATCTCACTTCAGCGGATACCCTGCCGTGTGGCAGGGCACAGGCCTAGCTGCCGACATCAGGGTGCCTCAGCCCCCGTTATGGTAACCCACAGGCCCTGCTCAGCTGTTCAGAGAAACCCCAGCCTGGAAAGGCAGGGAAGCCACGCAGGGCTCGGGGAGCATCCTGGGGCCCTCGGCCTGGCTCCTTCTCCGAGGGGCAGCCGTTGAGGCGAGCCCCCAAGGGCTTTCCCTGCTGGGCCCTCGCTCGGGATCCCGAGCGAGAGGGGCGGGCCTATCAGGGAGGAGAAGGTCCCTGAGTGGGGAGACTCGGGCTCAGCCCCGGAACACCTGTGTCTTACAGCGAAGGCTGGGAGCAGAACGGTCTCTACGAGTTCTTCCGAGCAAAGATGCGGGCCCGGCGGAGGAAAGGCCAGGAGAAGAGGAACAGGTGAGAGCCGTGTCCCCCGTGGAGAGCCAGTCTCTACGGTCTCGTCCCGGGGCAGCCTGCAGGCAGCTCTCCTTGGCCCGCAGGCTCGCGGTGGTGTCACGCCTGAGGCGAGGGGCAGGGATGGGGGTCAGTTCTGGTCTTTGCCTGGGTCTTGGGTGAAGCACCCTACGGTGAGGGTGCCGGGAGCCGCTGCCCCCACGGCCAAGGTAACGTGGGACGCACCAGCACGCGTGTACAGCGTGCTGTTGTCTGTAAGCCTGACGGGAGAGGGTGCGTCTGCCCCCGCACTGGGCGCCTCTAGGGCCAGGCTAGGGGTGTGTGCAGCTCACCAGGCCTCTCCCCGCAGTGGACCCTCACGGTCTCGGAGCAGATCCAAAAGCCGAGGGCGCTCCTCCTCGCGCTCCAACTCACGGTCCTCCAAGTCGTCCGGCTCCTACTCCAGGTCACGGTCCCGCTCCTGCTCCCGCTCCTACTCCCGCTCCAGATCCAGGTGAGCAGGGCTCCGCTGCTCAGGGTGTGCTGCTCAGGGTGCGAGGCCCGGGCTCCTCGCTGCTCGTGCTGACCCTTCCCTCTCCCCGCCCCGCAGGAGCCGCAGCCGCTCCCGTTCCTCCCGAAGCCGCTCCCGCTCCCGCTCCCGCTCGAGGTCCAAGTCCTACTCCCCAGGAAGGAGGCACCGGTCGCGGTCCAGGAGCCCCACCCCGCCGTAAGATTTCTGTCTTAACTGTCCAATGACCTCTGGTAGCGCTGGAACCCTCTGATGCTTTGCTGTGAATGTTGACACGTGTCATTAGAAGACCCGCTCTAGGTGGCCCGCGCCAAGGCGGCACCTGGGGGCCCCGGGCGCTTGCTAGCGCAGTGACGGTGGCATCGCGTCTCACTCCTCGCTTTTATCTCTAGCGGTCACACTAAAGCCCAAGGCCAGGGCTGTGCTCTGTTCTCTGACCGTTTGACGGGTTCGATGTGGCCGGCCGTTGCCACCAAGTGTGGGGCAGGGACCGGCATCTTAGGGTACCCCTTAACTGGCCGGCGAAGAGGATAAAGAAGGCGGCTAGAGACCGAAACGTGTGTCTGTGTGTCCGTCTCACGCTGGCGACCCTCCATAGAAGCCACATGCTGTAATATTCTAAGTTTTCATTCCAATAAATGTATCCACTCTTTTGTAAAAGACGTTACCTGTCTTAATTTTAGTTCCTCGGCTGGTCTGGGTTCTAATTCAGCACCTCCTATACCGGACTCAAGGCTTGGGGAAGAGAACAAAGGACATCAGATGCTGGTGAAAATGGGTGAGCTTCCGGGGAGACTAGAGTCCGCTCCGGGCACTCAGGGTGTGGGGGGCTGAGGCAGGCAGAGGACATTCCCACCTGGAAACAGAAACAGGAAGGGCGAGCCTGCGGGGTCTTACCGGTGCTTTCTGAGTGCGTTAGTTTTAGGTTTGTGAGTTGCATGTCCTGGAACTCCCTGTAGGCATTTCCACTGAGCTGCTCATCAGGGTAAGGGCGCCACGCTTCGGGCTTCCCCTGGGTCGTAACCACTCATCCCTCTCTCCTTCAGGCTGGAGTGGATCCGGTGGCCTCGGCGTGAAAGAGCAAGGGATCCAGGACCCCATCAAGGGTGGGGACGTGCGGGACAAGTGGGACCAGTACAAGGGCGTGGGCGTGGCCCTGGACGACCCCTACGAGAACTACCGCAGGAACAAGAGCTACTCCTTCATCGCCCGCATGAAGGCCCGGGAGGAGTGCAAGTAGGCGCGCAGAGCCACCCTGCTGGGCTCACTGCTGGAGAATGGCAGGGTCAGCCCAGCTCCCGCCCCGGCTCTGCCTTGGGGAGCGACAGAGGAGGAAGACGGGCGCGGGTCTTGTGACCAGTGCCACGCTGGATGGTGCCGAAGGCCCAGGCCCCACCCGCAAACCAGCTCTAACGTAGCAGCAGGCATCACAAGGAGGTGCCCAGCCCATGCGGCCACAAGCTTATTTCCCTGGACAGTGAAGCAAGAGACACAAGACCCCTGGATAAAAACTCTCACCGTCTGAAGGCACGGCCGTCTCACTCTTCCCTCAGCCTGCGCCTCTGAAACCAGTGGGAGTGTGTGCAGAGGTCCTGCGCACGCACTCCAGGCCAGGCACTGGCACCGCTCACTCGTTAAAAATGGAAAAAAGCAAAACCTGATTTGCAGTAAACAAGGTTTTCATTTTTATTCCAAGTGGTTTAGTTTTAGAAAAAAAGAATACTGATCTAGGCTGATCCCCAGTGAGATAATTTGAAACTTATTTCCTCTGAGACATACCAGCCCTTAATTCAGTTACTTTAGCTGCTTAAGTTGAGGATTTTTTTTTTCTTCTTTTCTTCTTTGAACATTAGCCATTTGCTGTTACCTGCAGAAACAAAAAGTTCTGAGGAAACTCACCTGAGGCATCTTCAGGTCACCGAACGATGACGCCCTTGGAGAACTTGTACCCTTAGCGTCTCTACTTGTGTTTTTCACTGAGAGGAACCCCACACCAGCACGTGTGAGACGGCCCGTTCTCATCCAGAGTGTGGGGCGCGAGCCCGGCCCTGCCTCCTGCTCTGTCACCTCCTTCGCCATCCCCGCCTGCCCCCAGAGGTGGGAAGGCCAGAGGGAGCCGCCTCTGCCGGGAGCCGCCCTCCTCGGCATCCACGGGCAGCTTGGTGCGGTGCCATTCATTTGTACAGAAACTTTTTTGGAAAATTCTTTTCAATAAGATGCAAAATCCTCTCCAACTTTTCAACCTGATAGGATACACTATTTGATTTTTGTTCTAGATTTCCTGTAGCTGTGAATTGTTCAAACCTGTCTGATTCAGGATAAAATGTAAACATGTGTTGTTAACAATTTCTTGTGGATTTTACTGTTTTGCCTTCAAATAAAGACCTTTTTTTAAAGACCTTTTTCTCTGCGTGTTTAAATTAGAAGCGTGCTCAAGCTGAGGAGGGCGGGGAGGCGCGTCCTGAGTGCAGACTGTCTGAATCGTGGAGTTGGGTTGGAGCTCTGCCTGGGTATCTCACGGGGGTCCCCAGCGTGGATGCGTGGCCCTGCTCCCTCGTTAGTCAGGGGGGCTCCTCACCCCCACCGTCTACTGAGCCTCTGAGAAGCCAGCACCTGCCCCGGTGGAGCCACTCCATGTGGCATCACCTGGCACGCTGGCATCCCCCCGTCCTGCGCGCGTGGTGACAGACTTCACTTGGGTTCCACTTCACTGGCCTGTGCTGTCCTCTCCAATGACAGGCACGCCGACGGAATGGGGGCTACTCGGCTGGAAATGACTGGAGCGCCCCCACCCACCGAATGCCCCCCGGGGTCTCAGGGGTGAGTGTCACAGCCGGCGTATAGGACCAGCTCCTCAGAACCTCGGGTCCACCGCCCCTCCTGGCATTCATAGCTCCTTCTTCACCTCCTCCAGAGCCTCCTCCATGGTCAACAGGGCGGGCCTGTGTCGTCTGATGTACTGCGGGGCAGAAGACACACAAGGAAGTCGTCACCACTGCTGCCTCCGCGCGCGGAGGCTCTGGGCCCTGCGGATGGCACCTGTCTGTCTCCAGGGGCTAAAAGGAAGCGTGATGGCATGTCAGGGGGCAATGCCGTGGAAACAAGAGGAGGGCTGAACCCGGGCAGGCACCCTGCAAGGGGCGAGGCCTGACTGGAAGGGGAGAGGGGCAGGGCTACCCGGCTGCCCTCAAGAGGATACAGGCTGGGGAGAAGGGCTCGGGTGCCCCTCAGGGTGTGGGCCTGGAGCACAGCAGGCCACCAGCCACTCAGGGTCTATAGGCAGAAGGAATCCGATCGCTTCAGCTTGCATTCAGCTCACACATGTCCAACAGCGGAACAAGTTCAAGGGCCCCTCGGGGGTGCCATCAGCCAAGTCCAGAACATGGGAAAGAGTCGACAGCCTGTTTTCTTCCAACCAATAAACTTTTAAGGAACAAGAGGTGGGGAAGGGGGGCTGGCCTGTAAGCAGCGGTTCTCAGAGTGGGTCCCCAGTGGGCCCGTGGGAGGAACACCCACTCCCAGGCCCACCCTACCACCAAGGCAAAGCCGGTGGTCAGGCCTTCGGAGGACTCACACTGCTCAGGGCTGCAAACCCCTGCTATATAGGTTAGGAGTCTAAAAAAATACTGAGCAAACTTGATGTAGGACTCTGAATACATGTGGAAAAAATAGGAAACGTACACCTTCTATGAGATGAGTGGAAATCTGAACACTGGACATCTAATAATGATAACAGGAAAGTTAGTTTGGTTTTGATATTACAGTGGCATTGTGATTATTATTTTTAAGTCCTTTCTAAGAAATACATACAAAAATATTTGTAGCTGAAATGCTAAAAACCACGCATAACAATTCATATGGTACGATGCCATTTCTATAAAGAAACACCTATCACATTATCATATTTAATACTATACCTATTCTATATATTTTATATGTTGTATAGAATATGTGACAATATTGTACACATGCTTAACAGTTTATATTTTACATAGGAGAAATCTAAAGAATATATATCAAGTTGGTAATAATTACCTCTGAAATTATGGAGAACTTTCTAAGTAACAGATCTCCAACAGAATTTTTATAAAATAATGTTTTTGTCATCGGACAAAAAATGAATTTTGGAGGAGGAAAAAACGTGATGAGTATGATATCCCCGGAGCACCAGCCCCCGGACTGGCAGCCCTCAGGAAGGGTCTGTGGAGGGGCAGGGCCCTCACCCAGGAGAAGGGCACCTTGGTCTGATGTCACACGGCACCCCTGCCCCAGCCCTGGTCATGGCCAAGGACAGAAAGGGGCTCCTTCAGCCAGGACCGAAGGGGGCTGGGGCCCCAGCATTCCCAGCATCCCAGTTTGAGCCCTGGAAGCCCCCTGCCCTCTCCCCCATGGAAGTGGGAGCCCCGAAAGCCCCCTGCCCTCTCTCCCCCATGGAAGTGGGAGCCCCAGAAGTCCCCTGCCCTCTCTTCCCCCATGGAAGTGGGAGCCCCAGAAGCCCCCTGCCCTCTCCCCCCCATGGAAGTGGGAGCCTCAGAAGCCCCCTGCCCTCTCCCCCATGAAAGTGGGAACCCCGGAAGCCCCCTGCCCTCTCTCCCCCATGGAAGTGGGAGCAGTGCCGTGGTCACCTCTTTGGTTTCCTCCAGGGTGTGGTAGTGGAATGAGTCTCCATCCAGGGAGCGCAGGAGGGACGCGTGCAGGTGCCGGCTGGCCTCGATGAACTGCTGCGTCAGGCTCAGTTGCTGCTTCAGCACATCGTTGAGTGCGAACACGGCTGGGCTATATGCAGTCAGGGCTGCCACCCCAGCTTCGGATCAGTTGTCGGCCCCAGCCCCCAGCCCTCACCGCACCCCATGGGCAGCCCTGCACCCTCACCCCTCAGCTGTGGCAGGATGCCCTCTGCAGGTACTGCCCCCTCCAGAAGCAGCAGCGGCCTCGCCTCATTATGTGCCTTTCTACTCAGTGGTAGATGAACTGCGGTCTCTGACCTGTGTGTGGGTCTCACACACTCACACACTCTCACACACCTGGCCCCCAGGCACCACCGGAAGCCTCAACCTCGGCGTCCAACACGAGGGAGGAAGGCCAGGACATGGCTCTCCAGGCAGTGCAGCCTCATGGTGTGGCTCTAACTCTCCTGAATTGTACACTTCAAAATAAGGAAGAGGGGAAATTTTACACTACGTCTGTTTAAACATGTGGGGCTTCCTGGTGGCCCAGCAGTAAAGAATCCACATGCAATGCAGGAGATGGGTTCTATCCCTGGGTTGACAAGATCCCCTGAAGGAGGCACAGCAACCCACTCCAGTGTTCTTGCCTGGAGAGCTCCATGGACAGAGGAGCCTGGTGGGCTGCAGTCCACAGGGTTGCAGAGTCAGACACAAGTGAAGCAACTGAGCAGGCACCCATGCATGTTTAGACATGTAATTAAATCATTTAAAATGCAGTTAAAATAAAATTCTTAGGGACTTCCCTAATGGTCCAGTGGTTAGGGCTCCAAGCTTCCACTGCAGAGGGCACGGGTTTGATCCCTGGTGAGGAAACTAAGATCCCACATGCCACATGGCATGGCCAAAAAAAATTTTTTAATATTTATATAAAAATTTAACAAAATAAAAGTACAATTAAAAATAACTGCAATGGTTAAAAATGATCATTACTAAAAAATGATCATTACTAAGACTATACTCATGGAAAAGTCACTGGGGTCAATATTATGTTTAAAAAAAGGATGAGGGTTTTTTTTTAAAGATATGAACATTTCACTTATGACCAATATATTTTAACATCTTCATCTTCTAAAAATGGTAAGAAAAAGAACAGGTTCCAGAGGACCCCTGGCTTCTGTCATGTGAGCCATCAGTGGCCCCAGGTCCCCGTGGGTAGGACACCCTACAGTGACTGTCACCTCTTCACTGGCGCCTTCCTCTCACCCCAGGCTTGGCGGGGGCCTCCCCAAGGCCCCGTGACTCCTCCACACTCAGCAAGGAGGCAGGGGCCGTGTCCATGGGACTGGGCCCTTCAGTACTGGCTGAGTGCCTTCTGGAGGAAACCAGCTATGGAATCTGGAGAGAAAGGCTCAGAGGGAACACACAAAGATGGCCCTGTCGGGGCGCAAGGCTCGCAAGTCTCCCTGCTAACCCTCCTGTTTTCTCCAACACGGGTGTCCTATTGTAAGACAGACAAGGTTCTGGGACACTCAGTCTGTCATCTGGGAGCCCAGAAATTGTGGCAGTTACCTGTGGCTGTGACCATCCCCACCAACAGATTCTCCAAACCCGGCACCCTAGGAGCGGCCGTACACCTCCAAGGGTGGACGTGAAATTGCAGGTAAAATGTGTCCGCTTCACCTAAAGGGACCCACAAGGTGAGCTGGGCTGTTACCTTCTATGGCGTCTGCGCTGATGACATGGCTGGCAATGGGTGCCGGGTCCACGTAGGCACCTCCTAGGGCTGGTCCGATGGCTGCCACGCCGGCCGCTGCTCCAGACACAGGAGGAGAGGTGAGTGGGCAGGGTCCAGAGCAATGACTTTCTCATAAACAGGTAAGATGCTGAAATAGGCTATGTGAGTCTGTCTTTTTCTCTTTCTGAATGTGATGGCCACTCTCCTTGCTTTCTTTAATCGTTCCGCTTCTTAAAGTTTCCCCAAACCTGCCTCCATCTTTCTGGTAGGTTCTCCCTGTTCAATACACAGGTCAGGTGAGCCGGCTGAAGCGGCCACTCAGCTCAGGGTGGCTGCCCTTCCCTGGATGGGCCCTCCTCTGACAGTCATTCGTGAGCTTCAGATGTTAACAGGCTCTTAACAGGGCTGACTTATATATGCTGCCTTTTTTCTCCTTCCTTTTGATGTCAGGCCTAATCTAGGAAATCAGCACCACGAAAGCATGTCTAAGTTGCCAAGGAAGAAACAGACGTGCGCCCATTTGCTGCCCAAAGGCTCTGTTGTCAGAAAGGCAGCAGGAAGACATGGGGAGGGACTTGGAGGTTTCTGAGTCACAGAACCAGGGTTTAAAATCCTCTTGAACACCTTCCAGTGATTCTACTGGGCCCACCTGACTGACCTGCCTCCCTGAGAAACAGAACAGTCACACCCCTTGGCCAGGTGCAAGGTCTGGACAGAAATATCATGAAGCCCCAAGATTCAAATGAGCAGATCAAGCAAGAACATGCAGGGATTTCCCTGATGGTCCAGTGGTTAAGAATCCACCTTCCAAGGCAGGTTCAGTCCCTGGTCCAGGAAGTAAGTTCCCATGTGCCGTGGGGCAACTAAGCCTGAGTGCTGCAACTAGAGAAAAACCCACCTGCCTCAATGAAGAGCCCATGCACTGCAACAAGGACCCAGCACAGCCAAAAGAAACACATAAACGTTAGAAAGCAGGACTCGCACCCCAGTGCACAGCCCAGGAAGAAGCTCTGTCTGCATCGTGGATGTCGTCTAGACCAGGGGTCCCCAACCTTTCTGGCATCAGGGACTGGTTTTGTAGAAGACAATTTTTCCACCAACTGGGTTGGGGGTGGTGATGCGGGGGGACAGTTTGGGGATGACTCAAGTGCATTACATTTGTTATGCTGCCGCTGATCGGACGGGAGGCAGAGCTCAGGCGGTAATGCAAGTGATGGGGAGCAGCTGTAAATACAGAAGATGCTTCGCTCACCCACCGCCCACCCGCTCACCTCCTGCTGTACAACCAGGTTCCTACAGACCACAGACCTGTAATGGTCTGTGGCCTGGAGGTTGGGGACCCCTGGTCTTGACGAGAATAAGGAGCAGCGCATGTGTGCACGCAAAGTTGCGACCCCAGAGCATCTGAGGATGCGCTGTCCTGGAAGGCGGTCCCTGTCACACCTGACGTTTCGGGTGGGGTCACTCTCTGGTGGGGCCTTCCTGGCCACTGCAGGGTGCTGAGCAGCGGCCTAGCCTCCACCCAGAGACAGTCGGTCACCCACCCACTGGGGCCAGGATCAGCCCCACTGACAACCACTGCTTTAGTCTTTGGTTTGAAACCTTTCAGTGTTTGGACGCTTGGGAGACAGTGGGGAATACCCAGGGAGCTCCCCGTTTCTGTGGAAGAGGAAACAGGCGGCTGAGGTCCCACCAGCTGGCTGATGACAGCCCAGACCTCCTGGTCCCGGGGCTCCTGCCGATCACTGCCTCGGGCCTGCCCCTCCCTCCTCCGACCCTCAGGCCACGTCCTTACCCTCAGCCCACTGGTAGGTGAAGGCGGGGTCGGGTGTCTGCACGGCCGTCTCCTTCACCACGACTCTTGGGACACCCCTGGCCCGCTTCTTCCGCGACTTGGGACTTGAGGGAGGGAGGTCTGACTTCAGACTTGCAGAAAATTCAGACTGAGTGGCCAGTGTCCTGTCGGGAGACTCCTCTGAACAGGCCGTTGACTCAGATGCTGTGGGACTGGGGGATTTTTCAAAATCTTCTGAGTAAGTCAAGCTCCCCGCGCTGGCCACAGGTTCCAGAGACGTCGGCCCCAGGCAACAAATGCCCTGGGGCCCAGGGGACGAGGCCGACGGCTCACTCAGGCGCTCAGAGATCTCGCTCTCAGAGCGGGGATCTCCTGCCCAGGGCCTTCTACTGGATGCCTTGACCCCCTGACCTTCTTCCTAAAATGAAGGATGGCAAAGGTAACTGGAAAGTATTTTCGAATGAGCAACACAATCAAAATTTACACAATCAAAATACCACTGCATTAGAAGTGAGGGCACCCCGGGGACCCAGCAGGTGAGGGTCTACACGGTTGTTTCTAGATTTGTGCAGCCCAAGTATTGTGAGCAGGATTCTTAAAACCCTTCAGCACGAAGCTGCTGCACTTAACACTGATAGTGTGAGCATGTGTTAGCAGCAGGTGGGTGAAATGTGTTGTGTCATTATTATGTTTTATTAAAACCTGTGCTGGGACTTCCCTGGTGTTCCAGTGGTTAAGAATCTGCACTTCTATTGGAAGGGGCACTGGTTTGAACCCTGGTTGGGGAACCCTGGTGGGGGAACCCTGGTATAGTAACCCTGGTGGATCCTGCATGTCAATCCTGAATGCTGCATGGCGCTGATAGTGAAGTGGTTACTAATACAGCAAGAATCACCACGGGGCACTGGAATAAATACAGGTCAGTGCAGGAACTGCTGTGGGGAGGCTGAAGTGAGACCTGCTCTAATCATCTGATATGTTAAATAACTCCTCTCTTATCACCTGAAATCAGGGTCTCTGCACATCGACACGTTGACATTCAAGACACAAATACTCTCTGCAGTGGGGGCCACCCTGTGCTCTCTGGGACACTGAGTGGCATCTCTGGCCACCGCCTACTCGAGGCCAGCAGCACCCAGCACCACAGTTATTGCCACAATGTTGCCAGACATCGCCAAGTGTTCCCAGGTGAGAATTGCTGACCTAAATGAAGCATCACGGTTGCTAACTGTTCCACGTAAAGATCTAAAGTGAAAAATCAACTAAGGGACTCCCCTGGTGGTCCAATGACTAAGACCCCAAGCTCCCAATTCAGGGGGCCCGGGTTCAATCCCTGGTCGGGAAACTAAGATCCCACATGCTACAACTAAAGAGTCCAACAATGAAGACAGAACATCCTGCATGCCGCTACTAAGACCCGGCCCCGCCGGAGTAGTAAAATAAATAAATAAATCTTTTTTAAAAAAAATAAACAAAAAATTGGTTCACTGTACTTACTTTCCATTCCAAGTCTGATTTCTCACTGACAGCTGGAGCCAGATCATCCAGGGATAAAATGTTTATTCTAAAATCTGTAATTAAAAATGTAACATGGCAATATTTACTCATTCACTCCACAGGTATTGACCATCCTTTTGAAGGAACTGGGCTAAGAGCTAGGGATGGGAAGATGCAAAAGTGTGCAGCCTTTGCCCTCAGAAAGCTAGCCCGGGCATCTGAGCACTTTTTCTTTAAAGGACGAGGTAGTAAGTATTAATAGTCTGGGCTTTTTCAGGCTAGTCTGTCTCTCTCACCATTGTTCAGCTCTTCCCTTGTGATGAGAAAGCCACCAAGGACTGTGTGTAAACAAATTGAGTGTGGCTGTGTCCCAATAAAATTTTACTTATAAAAACAGGCAATGGGAAGAGCTTCCCTGGTGGTCCAGTGGTTAAGAATACACCTTGCAATGCAGGGGATGCAGGTTCGATCCCTGGTCAGGGAGCTAAGATCCAAAAAGTAGTGGTTGTGGTGGTTTAGTCGCCCAGTTGTGTCTGACTCTTTTGACCCCCAAGGACTATAGCCCATCAGGCTCCTCTAGCCATGGCATTCTCCAGGCAAGAATACTGGAGTGGGTCGCCACTTCCTTCTTCAGGAAGATCTGAAAAATAGAGAAGCAAGGAAAAAAAGAAAAACAGGCCAGAAGCTTCCCAGCCCCTGGCCTACACAGAGTGGCTCACAATGCAAAGAGGGAAGCGCAGTGGTAAGTGTGCTTGAGGTAGGAGGGGCGGGCCCTCTGCTGGGAGAGTGGCACCTCATCCTAGGCTCTCATTTAAAGCAAGTTAAGGGCACGGGGGGTCTTTCCTGGGGGCTCAGATAGTAAAGAATCTGTCTCTAGTGCAGCAGACCCAGGTTCAATCCCTGGGTCGGGAAGATCCCCTGAAGGAGGGCATGGCAACTCACTCCGGTATTCTTGCCTAGAGAATTACATGGACAGAGGAGCCTGGCGGGCTACAAAGAATTGGGGTCGCAAAGAATTGGACAGGACTGAGTGACTCACACTTTCACTTTCGTTTCAAGCTCAGGAGAACTGCCCCTTTGTGGTGCCAGCTAGCCAGCTGCCAATGCCTGAAAGCCACGGGTGCAGGTTACTAGAAGAGGAAGGCTCCACGTAGTTCCAGTGCCCCGTCAACATGTGGGCCTGCTCCTCCCTGGGAGGAGGAAGGCTGACGGGCAGCCAGGGTCAGGAGCAACTCCACCACATGGCTCATTTCATGACTGAAGCACAGAGGCTGTGTGTGTGTGATGCGAGGGGGACGGGGGTGTCCCCACTGCAGGGCCTCAAAACCCAAGCAGGTACGTGATCCAACCCTGGCTGAGTTGGGTGGACACTTGGTGGGGCCTCCAAGGTGTCTTAGGAAGGGGCTTCTACAGAGAGCACCATGGAAGGGGCTTCCATGGAGCAGCCTGGCTGGGCTGGAGGGATGAGTCTCCCGGAGGAGGCAGGATGTGACCCGCAGTTCCAGGAACAGACAGGGGACAGTCAGCAGGAGCAGCAGGAGCAGCTGTAGTAGCGCCCACCACATAGGAGGCACAGAGCTGGAGGTGAACGGGAGATGGAAGACTGAGCGGCTCACTCTTTCTGGTAAAGTCAGCTAAGTGCAATCCCAAACGCCAGGCCACCCCAGCGACGTAAGACCGAAATGAAAGCCCAGCTCATCACTTCAGTGCTGAGGGCTCAGCCCGCCTCTGAGCTCCTCCAACACTGCCAGTTGCCAGCATGTCTGTGGCACACAGGTCCTGAGATACGTTCATGGACAAGCCTCTGAACTAAGCCATCGTGGCTGGCTTGGGCCAAGGCACTGCAGGAGACCGTGGACTGGCAACATCACTGTCATGTCGGCCAACCCCGCCTCTCACAGGCTTCCTGTGCGGGAGGCCCTTCTTCCCACGCAGGAGGCACTCCACGTGCACTAGCTCACTGTCGTGGCTCCGCCACCTTACAGACGAGGAAACTGAGACACCGAGAGCCTGAGGCCGTGTGGCCAGAAGGCAGCAGAGCAGGGTGTCCACCCCACAGAGTGTGTGCTAGTCACTCAGTCTCGTCCGACTCTTGGCGACCCCACGGACTGCAGCCCTCCAGGCTCCTCTGTCCACGGAATTCTGGCAAGAATACCAGAGCAGGTTGCCATTCCCTTCTCCAGGGGATCTTCCCGACCCAGGGATCAAACACGGGTCTCCCACATCACAGGCAGGTTCTTTACAGTCTGAGCCACCACGGAAGCCCCCACCCCAGGTGGGCTGGACCCCCAAACTCAGACTTGTCCTCACCACTCCTTGCTGCCTTCCTCTCTTGAAGCTGCATCTGGAGGGGAAGGTGGGGTCTGGACATGGAGGGGGCCCCTCCCAGCCAGCAGCGTGGGCTGAGGGGCAGCCTGGAGGGGCGGTCAGGGAGGGCCAGAACCCAGGTCTGGCGTTCCTGTCGGTTGCCATGTCGGCCAACCCTGACTCTCACAGGCTTCCTGTGCAGGTACGCCCACCTTCTCATCCACACCCACAGGGCCAGCCAGGACACCCATCACCATCTCCTTGGGCCTGAAGACCTGAGCCAACAGCAGTGAGGTGCCACATGGCATCCGGCAGATGGTGGCCCCCGAGGGGGCTCCAAGGGGGCTTTCTCGCACCCTCAAGCCCATCCCCCTGCACAGGGGGGGGTCTTTGGCTGGCTGTGCTTCTCTTCCCTGCCCCTACATCATGGTGCCTTAGCATCTTGGATTTTTTGGGGCGGGGGGCAGGGGCACACCATGCAGCCTGTGGGATCTTAGTTCCCCGACCAGGGACTGAACCTGCGACCCTGCAGTGAAAGTGCAGAGTCTTAACCAATGGACCACCAAGGAAGTCCCGCATCTTGAATATTTTGAGCTGCAGGAATCTGAGACACAGAAGGGGCTGCAAGGACTCCCTGACCTCCTTCGAAGCAAGGTCGTAAGACCCTCAGGTAAGACTCACCTTCCCTTTACCTGGGGGAAAGGAGCATCCTTATGTCCTAGATGGGGGAAGCTGAACCACCCCCACTAGCAGGCTTTGCTACATCTCCCCTCATCTACTGCTATCCTTCTATCACATTCTCCCAGGACTCTCCACTGCTTATCACATCTAGCAGGAGGTATCACCGTTTCTTTACATTTTCATTTCCTTATGAAGGCTCCTGGGTCACATAAAACTTATATGAAACACTTATTGAATCTCAGAATGCTTTTCTCCTGTTAACCTGTCTTTGGTTACAGAGCCCCAGCTGAGAACTCAAAAGGACACAGGGGAAAAGCTAATTTCCTTCTCCTACCACTTGATTCACAGGCTAAAAATTATCCCAGCACCTGGGACCTGGGGGCAGGGGCGGGGCAAGTTCGCGTGTTTGTCATCGTGCTCTTGACACCATCATGCCTGGCACCTGCTGGCAAACAGCAGGCACTCAACCCAGTTATTTAACTGGGTTTTGATGGTAAGGAAACCGCAGAGGGGAGAAATCCATGTTGGCTGCCCATCTTTTCTTTCTGCTCTTTTCTTAAAAACATACGGTATTAAAACTCATGTTGGGGACTTCCCTGATGGTCCAGTGGTTAAGAATCTGCCTTCCCGGCTATACCCCAATACAACATAAAAATATTTTCTTTTTTAAAAAGAAAAGATCTGGGGAGTTCATTAAGGAGGAGAAGGAAAAAAAAAAGAATCCACCCTGGCTTCCAGTGCAGGGGATGGGGGTTCGATCCCTGGTCAGGGAACGAAGACCCTGGCCACTGCTACGAAGACCCAGCAAGCCAAAAGTAAAAAATAAACAAGTACGTAAAAAATCATGTTGAATGATGGTGAAATAACAAAAATGTCTGTGACTGCTTAGAGGTTGGTTTCGTTTTCTCCATTTAAAAAGGAAAGGAAGCACACTTCTCTTTTACAACAAGGAAAACTTTCTCTCATGTGAGGCTCTAGGAGGATTTGCTTTCGCTCTGTCACTGGGCAGGGTCACTAAATGAAGACTTTAAAGATAGAATGGGGACTTCCCTGGTGGTCCAGTGGTTAAGACTGCGTTTCAGACACACGGATGCAGGGGGTCAGGGAACTAAGAGCCCCCATGCCCCAAGGGGAGAAAGAAATCTGACTTGTCCCCTCAACTAGGAAACAGGGTGTGGAAAAGCTGAGAGTGCCGTGCACCCCTGGTGATAGTACCCTGCGACCGCCACGCTGGCGACCCTAAAGGCGGTCTCACCCTCCCTGCCCAGGGTGACAACTCTGCACAGGGATGAGCACTACCATTCAGACTGTCGTCGGTGGCTTCTGAGGGCGGCTCCTCCCGGGGCCCCGGCTCGCTCCTTCTCTGGGAGGGTGAGAGCTCATCGTCCCCCGCGGTCGAGGGCACTGACTCCGGAAAGGCGCCAGGGATGGAAAGTGACACCGTGCGGGAGGCAAACGTGTGCGTCTGTGGGGAGCGAGTTCTCAAGCCAGCACCATGCAGGGTCCCATCTGCTGACCCTGAGGTTGACAGCCATGAAGTGGGGAAGGGCTTTGAGCTGGGAAGATCCTTGATGGGCCGTGAAAGGGCCCTCAGTGGAGTTGGGATTTCATCCTACGTGGGCGGAAACAAAAGAAGGGAAATTAACCAAACATATGCTAAGTCCTGATCAAGCGACACTGGGGTTGGTGGACAGTGATGACCTCATGATGACTGTTAACCACTCTCTGCCCCTTTCTTTCTTCTCCCCTTATCTATGGAAGTTGAGGGACAACATTTAGGCAAGATAATCCTGGAATCAGAAATACTCAGAAGTATTGCTTGGCTTTCAAATTGTGTCTGACTCTTTGCAAGCCCAGGGACTGTAGCCTACTGGCCTCCTCAGTCCATGGGATTTCCCAGGCAAGAATGCTGGAGTGGGTTGCCACTTCCTTCTCCAGGGGATCTTCCTGACCCAGGGATTGAACCCACGATGCCTGCTTGACCGGAGAAAGAAATGGTGACCCACTCCAGTATTCTTGCCTGGGAAATCCCATGGACAGAGTGGCTTGGTGGGCAACAGTCCACAGGGGTTGCAAACAGTCAGACAAACTTAGTCACAAGAGTGACTAAGCAAAATTGGCCAAAGTACCTCTTCTGTAATTTCCCTTAATAACAAGTGTTAGTGAAGATGTGGAGAAATTGGGACCCTCATACACTGCTGATGGGTATGTAAAACAGTGCAGCCACTGTGGGAAACAGCTTGTCTGTTCCTCAATTAGGTACACACAGACTTACTATAGGACACAACAGCTCTGCTCCTAGGAAAAACCCAAAGAATTGAAAACTGGGACTCAAACAGATACTTGTAACACTATTCACAACTGCCAAAAGGTGGAAACATCCCAGATGTCCATCAGTGGATGAGTGGATAAACACAATGTGGTCCATCCACACAATGGAATATTACTCAGCCATAAAAATGAATGAAGCATTGACGCATGCTACAACGTGCGTGAACCCCAAAAGCATCATGCTAAGGGAAAGAAACTGGACACAAAAGGTCACAGGTTGTATGATTCCACGGGAGAACTGTCCAGAACAGGCAAACCCACGGAGACAGAAAGCAGATTAGTGGTTATTAGGGTCTGGAAGACAGGGAAACAGGGAGTGATTACTTGGTGCACGTGTCCATGCTAAATCACTTCAGTCATGGCAACTCTTTGAGGCCCTATGGACTGTAGCCGACCAGGCTCCTCCGTCCACAACATTCTCCAGGCAGGAATACTGGAGTGGGTTGCCCTGCCCTCCTCCAGGGGATCTTCCCGACCCAGGGATCAAACCTGCGTCTCCGGCGACTCCTGCATTGTAGGCAGATTCTTTACCACTGGGCCAACAGGGAAGACTGAGAGTAACCAGTAGCGGTTTACTTTCGGGAGGATGGAAATGTTTTGCAATGCAACAGGTGGCAGTTACACAACATTGTTGAATGTACTAAATGCCACTGAATTGTTCATTTTTAATAGGTTAATTTTAGGTTATAGGAATGGCACCTCAATTTAAAAAAAAAAAGGAAATGGAGCCTTCCCAAGTTAGTGATTCCCATATAATACAACCAGCAAGCAGGCGTGGGTCACCAACAGCAGTGACCACGGTGGGGGTTGGATCAGTCATACAAAGTGCCGTCCTGTGGGGTATACAGTTACCAGCTCCACATACTGCAAAACTACCTGATGTGTCCGAAATCCAGTCCCTTACAGAGCAGACCAGAAGTGGGTTCCCATGATTGGCTGAAACCCAACCCTTCCTCATCCAACACTCTCTCAAGTAGCTTATGGGTGATGGCGCTCATCAGAAGACTCTAGTGCTATGACATAAAGGTGCAAATGCAAATTATTAATACAAACAAGTACAAAATAAATGAGTGCAAAATGTAGGGATGTCCCTGGTGGTCCAGTGGTTAAGAATCCATCTTGCAATGCAGGGGATGGATGCAGGTTCGATTCCTGGTTGGGGAATTAAGATCCCACATGCCACAGAGTAACCTGTGTTGCCAACTACTGAGCCCAAGAGCTCCGGAGCCGTGTGCTAGAACTAGAGTCCCCGCACCACAAGGAAAGATCCCACGTGCCACAACTAAGACCTGATGCAGCCAAGTAAATAAATAAAAAATAAAAATGGATAAGTACAGGCAAACCTTACCGAGACTAGTTTTGTTTGTTCTTTCTCACTGGCTTTGGTGCTGGTGAAACCCTGATTGGTGGGTGTTTCTTTTTCCCTGGAAGATTCTATCAAGCTCCCTAGCAACTCTTTCATTTCCTCTTCATCACTGTCTGTAGAATCCAGTGTTCTAGGGTGTTGTCTCTCCTTGGGTCTTTGAGCATCCCTCTCCTTCCCAGCCTGGGCTTCCACGGGTATCTTTGCCACCCCTGCTTCTCTCTTCTTTAGAAACCTACTGGCCTTCCCACTCGGCATGTCTGTCTCAGAGACAGGAATTTCAGGGGCCCGTTCTGGGGAGGGTCGTCCTGAGTTCTGTGAAGAAAGGTCAGTCGTCCTCCTGGGGGGCGTTCCCTCTGCTCTGCTAGGGAGCCAGTCCTCGTGTTCCGTGTCTGATGGATCCATCCGCACCTTCCGGTTCCTGATCCTGGTCTCTATCTGCGCCAGCTTCGTGAGCGCCGCGTTGGCTCTGACCTTGGAGACAGTGGTTGACGGTCTACTTGAAGAGCGCCAGGGCTCGCTCCCCAGGACAGCGTTGTCTTTCGGCAGGAAGTGTTTTCCACCCAGAGTCTGGTTTCTTTTTAAAAATCTGCTGGGACCGGGTGCTATTTTGGTAAGACTTCTACTGATACCAGAGTTCCGCATGTCCTCCATCTTTGAGTCTTCTAAGGAAATATCACTGAGGTCGCCAAAGATGTCACGCACAGGATGGCTGGGTTTTCTTATCGAAGCCATTCTAGGGAGTAAAGACAGAAAACTTAAGAATCAGAACACCTGATGTTCATACTGCCAGTTCAGATCTCTCAACACCTCCCGCCACTTGGGAGAGACCACATACCCTTTTGCCATCTGGCCAGAGCCGCCCCTCCAAGCCTGATGACCACCATGAAAATAAGACACCTGGGACTTCCCTGGTGGCACAGTGGATAAGAATCCGCCTGCCAGTGCAGGGGACACAGGTTCGATCCCTGGTCCAGGAAGATTCCAGATGCCACAGAGTAACTAAGCCCGAGCACCACGAGTTCTGAAGCCTGTGTGCCCTCGAGTATGTGCTCCACAAGAGAAGCCACCCCAATGAGAAGCCCATGCACCGCAGCAAAGAGTAGCCCCCGATTGCCGCAACTAGAGAAAGCCCTGGAGCAGCAACTAAGACCCAGGGCAGCCAAAAAATAAATTTAAAATACATAAATAAGACACCTGGTATGTTACCACTGAATTACCCTTTAGGGCCAGGTATTAAGTGACACATGTTACATATTAAAGACAAAAGTCAGCGATTCTCAGGCCCCAGCAGGATGCCCGGTACTCCACTCAGAACTGCAGTATCCCATTTAACTCTCACTCGACCCTGTGAGTTAGTTATTGTCATCCCTCTCTCATAGAGGAGAGGAAGGAAATGAAGGCTCCAGCAGGTTAGGTCCTGATCAGTGAGTTGGTATTGTTGTTCAGTTGCTAAGTCATGTCTGATTCTTTGAGACCCCATGGACTGCAGCACGCCAGGCTCCCCTGTTCTTCACTGTTACCCAGTTTGCTCAAACTCATGTCCATTGAATCGATAATGCCATCCAACCATCTCATCCTCTGTCGCCCCCTTCTCCTGCCCTCAAGTCTTTCCCAGCATCAGGGTCTTTTCCAGTGAGTAGTCTCTTCACATCAGGTGGCAAAAGTATTAGAGTTTCACCATCAGTTCTTCCAATGAATACTCAGGGTTGATTTCCTTTAAGATTGATTGATTTGATCTCCCTGCAGTCCAAGGGACTCTCAAGAGTCTTCTCTAGCACCACAGTTCAAAAGCATCACCTCTTTGGCACTCAGCCTTCTTTATGGTCCAACTCTCACATCTGTACGTGACTACTGGAAAAACCATAGCTTTGACTGTATGGCCAGTGAGTAGTAGAGCCAAATTCAGAGCTTAGGCTAATTCCAAAGATCTCACTCACCCCCAGAGTTCTTTACTGTCTCTCCAGCTGCCCCACTTCAACTCCGAGTCAGTCCTACTCCCCAGTCGCACCCCACGTCCGGTCTCCTCCTCTATCCAAGTATCCTCAGTTCTCTCAAAAAAAAAAAGAGCTGTTGAGCTTTCAGCTTTTGGCTTGGAGGAGGCCAAGGTGCAACTTTCTACGGTCATCCCGAATCCAGGTTCATCCGACACCAGCCGCCTCCACCATGCTGCCTAAGTTCGACCTGAATGAGATCAAAATTGCGTACCTGAGGGGCACCAGTGGGGAGGTCGGTGCCACGTCTGCCCTGGCCCCCAAGATCGGCCCCCTGGGTCTGTTTCCATCGCCAAGGCAACTGGTGATTGGAAGGGTCTGAGGATTATAGTGAAACTGACCATTCAGAACAGACAAGCCCAGATTGAGGTGGCACCTTCTGCTTTTGCCCTGATCATCAAAGCCCTCAAGGAACCACCAAAGGACAGAAGGAAGCAGAAAAACATTAAGCACAGTGGAAACATCACTTTTGATGAGATCATCAATATTGCCCGGCAGATGTGGCATCGGTCTCTAGCTAGAGAACTTTCTGGAACCATTAAAGCGATCCTGGGGACAGCCCAGTCTGTGGGCTGCGATGTTGATGGCGGCCACCCTTATGACATCATAGATGATATTAACAGTGGTGTGGTGGAGTGCCCAGCTAGTTAAGAACGGCAAAGGAAAAAGAAAAATAAAGGATTATTTGACAACCAAAAAAAGAAAAAAGAGCTGCAGAGAGCCTGCCCTGGTAGTCCAGTGGTTAAGACTCTACACTCCCAATGCAGGAGGCCCGAGTTCAACCCCTGGTCAAGGAACTAAGATCCTGCATGCCACACAGTGAGGCTAAGTAAATAAAAATAGTTTTAAAAATTGGCTGTATTATTTTTAAGTTGTTTTTGAAATTCAGTCTATATGTTTAATGAGCTCCCAAGAAGTCTTATTTTACTTAGTATAAGAACCAGTGCCCTGGGAGGACTAGGGGCTTTGGACAGACAGGCCGCCCTCTCCTCCCATCCTGCACAATATGTCAGCTGTGTGTTGTGCGTGTGTGCTAGTGTATATTTTTCTGGGGAGAAGGGCCTGAGTTTTCATCGTATTCTCAGAGTTCTCGTGTACCCCTGAAAGAATATGAACAATCCATTGAAAGATTTACCAAGGTTTCAAAAGATTTTAAAGCCTTGGGGAAAAAATGGCATGGGTGGGTGTCTGCTGCAGGCCCTTTAGTGAAGAACGTGGCAATGGCCATGAAAATGTGAAATGCACAGAACCATGACCCCATAATTCCACATCTGGGAATTTATCTATAATAATTACGTTCTCAAAGTCACATAGAGATGTCCAAGGAATGTCTTGGCAGCATTATTTGTACTGATCAGAAACACAGGCCCAGTGAGGTCCAGACAACCACAGGCACACAATGGAATATTAGGCAGCCATTAATGGAAGGGGGAAAATCTGTGTGCATAACATCTCCAGCATAATGGTCTGTGAGGCAGAAAAGACGAGCTGTAGAACCATGCCTCAGCTCCATACTGTTTGAATGGTGGGACTTGCCTGGTGGTCCACTGGTTAAGACTTTGTGCTTCCAACGCAGAGGGCACAGGTTCAACCCCTGATCAGAGAACTAAAATCCCACATCCCGAACAGTGCAGCCAAAAAAAAAAGAAAAATACTGTTTGAATGTTCTATCAAGACTGTATCTGTTACTTTTATTAAAAAACAAAAAAGTACTGTGAGACCCAAAAAAGCCTTTTCCCCCCCTCTCTATCCACTTGGAAAACTACTTTATTAGGATTACCAGAATAAATAGAGGACAGTTATTTGAATTTCAGATAAACAGCAAATAATTTTTAAAAATTAAGTATGACCCAAATATTTTAAGGTAAAATGTTCTGAACATTTTATACTAAAAAGCATGTGTTCCAAATATCTTTATATTAAAAAATTATGTTTATCTGAAATTGAAATTCAACTGAGTGTCCAGTATTCTGAGTTGTTAAAATTGGCAACTCTACATCTTATACACCTTTTAAAGCTGAGTTCAAATATTTTGTGCAAGGCAAAGCATTTAACCCAGTCCCGAAGATTCTGACAAGAATGAATTATTTTTATTATCTTACTGTCTGTTTCTCTGATGAGTGTGCTTGCTTTCTTATCCCCATCTTAACAATTCATATACTAAGAGTGCCCAACATAGGCCTGACCACAGGGGTCAGTGAATGGAAAACCACACAGAATTCCTAGTGGGAGTGACCCTGGTCAGGTTACTTAACCACTGTGCCTCAGTTTGCTCATCTGTAAAAAGGGAATAACAGGATTCCTGTGTTCCTCATAGGAATCCCATGTTCAGTATGGGGCACGGAATAAGCATACAATAAAATTTAGATAGCTGTCATGATGGTATTGGGGGGGGGGGGCTTCCCAAGTAGCTCAGTGGTAAAGAATCTGCCTACCAATGCAAGAGATGCGGGTTCAACCCCTGGGTGGGGAAGATTCCTTGGAGAAGGAAATGGCAACCCACGCCAGTATTCTTGCCTGGGAAGTCCTATGGACAAAGGAGCCTGACAGGCTACAGTCCATGGGGTCGGGAAAGAGTTGGACACGACTTAGTAACTAAACAAAACAATAACAATGACAGTATTTGGACTACCTGCATAACAGGCTAACTTTTAGCTGCAGGGACATGGTGAAGGGGAAGTGGAAAGCACTGGAACAACATCAACAGCTATCTCTGTGAATATTTTTGTAGTTAAGGCTCCAGGCCATTCCGTGCTGGCCAGAGGGCAAGCCTGACCCCCAGGGCAGGTTTTCTGGCATCTAGTTCTTCTGAGAGGTTTAAAATAAATAAACTATTTTAAAAAAACTTTTTTTTTAATTAAAAAAAAAAGAGGAGGGGGGAATTTCTCTGGTGGCCTAGTGGTTAGGATTCCAGGGGTTGGGATTCAGTCCCTGATCCGGGAAGTGATATCCTGCAAGCCCCATAGATCAGCCAAATAAAAGAATAAAAAAAAAAAAATTAATGTTTAAAAGGGTAAATTTCATGTTATGTACACTTTGCCACAACTAAAATAGATATGTATTTTTTTAATTAAAAATTTTTTATTGAAGTATAGTTGATTTACAATATTGTGTTAGCTTCAGAAACAGGTATTTTTTTTGTAAAAACACATTGTAAACTCACAATTAAAAATAAACCAATAGGCAAAATATATGAACTGATATTTCACACAAAAAATACACAAATGGCCAATAAGCATGTAATAAGATGCTCAACATCATCCATGAGGGGAATTCAAATCAAAGCCACTATGAGATCCCACTTCACAAGAGGCCTGTAATCAAAAGTACAGAAATGAACACGTGGTTGGTGAGGATGTGAAGATATTAGATAGAACCTTCACACCCCTTGGAGGAGACTGTAAAACGATGCAACTGCCAACCTGGAAAACAGTCTGGTAGGTCCTCAAAAAGTAAACATAGTTACCACAGGACCCAGGAATTTCAATCCCGTTCAGCCCAAGATAACTGAAATGTAACAGTTCTTATTCATAATATACAAAAACTGGCAACAACCCAAACAGCCATTAACTAGTGAATGGATGAGCACTATTAAGTAATAAAAATGAACAAATAATGATACACACAACATGCACACGTGTCAAACACACCACACCAAGTGAAAATACCATGTGATGCAAAAAACCACACACCCTATTATTCCAGTTACAAGGACTGTCCAGAAAAGGCAAATCCACAAACTCACAAAGCCCATCGGTGGTTGCCTGGGACTGCGGGTGGTAGCAGGGATGGATAGATGGGGTGACCCACAAGTTCGAAAGCTGGATGGCGGTGATGTTTGCACCATTTGGTAAATTTTTAGTAAAATAACGGAATTGTAAGCTTAAAAGGGGTGAATTGTACCGTATGTAAATGAGTTATCGATAAAGCTGTTAAAAAATAAACCAATTTTTGAAAATAGGGGCGCCCCTCAGACCAGCGGGTTGTTCCCCAAGGCCTGAAGCGACCCACACGGGACCATCTCTCCAGTGTGCCTCAGACGGCGAAACTGAGGCTTGAGGCCCCTGAACCGCCCTCCTGCTGCCCGACCTACTCAGCTCCGGAGCGCGGCCCGTTTCCCTCAAATCCTCTCCCGAGCCCAGGCATCAAGCCCGGCCACCGCCCAGCCAACCCCGCCAACCTCCTCCCGCGAAGTCCTTCCGCGGAGGCTGCCGCCGCTCACGGTGGAACACTCGTGCCAGAGGGGACCGTTGCCCTCGGCAACGGCGCCAGGGCGAAAGAGACTACATCTCCCGGGTCACCCCGCGCCCTGAAGACCAATAGCACTCCAGGTCACAATAGCAAGGCATCGTGGGAGTGGTAGTTTTGGGGCGGGCCTGGCGTGCACCGCGCGTCAGAGCCCAATGGAGTCTCGGGTCATAATCGCGAGGCGTGACGGGAGCTGTAGTTCCGGGACGGGCCCGGCGGGCCGCGGAGACCGCTGGACGCACAAGAGGCAGTTGTGAGAAGTGGTACCGCACGGTCCATGGCCGCGGCTCGAGTTCCGCTCTGGGCAATCTGTGTGCTGCGGGTGGCGCTGGCCACCGTCTATTTCCAAGAGGAATTTCTAGATGGAGGTGAAGGGGCGACGCCGATGGTGGCGGGGGTGTAAGCTCCCGTATACCCCGTTGCCCATAGGATGGCCTGAGTTGCCATTTGGCACCGGCCTTTAGACGAAGGATCGGTGGTATCAAAACCCTGAAGCTTCGAAGCCTCGAGCGTCCCCATCATTCTCCCCACGACACAAATTAACAGTTTTCAGCCCTAACCTGTGTTATTTACCCCCTACAGAGCGCTGGCGGAACCGATGGGTGCCTTCCACTAATGACTCCCAATTTGGGCATTTTAGACTCTCCTCCGGGAATTTTTATGGTCATAAAGAGAAAGACAAAGGTTAGTGTAGGAATCGTGAGATTAATTAAATGAATATTAAACGCCTCATAGCAACCTTTCAAGGTAGGTGTGGCACATCCCAACACCCATTTCACAATTCGGGAAACAGGCCTGGGTAGGGTCGTTTTCTCTTTTCTCTCTTTAGAAGACACGAAGATGATGTCTCTTTACAAGCACTAGTCAGATGGGTTTGGAGACCCGAGGGCCTTAGGCTCCAGAAGGAAAAAGATTAGAAGATACTTCTCATTTTTATTTTCAAGTTTAAAAAAAAAAATTAAGGTTATATGCTGTCAAGTGGATGGATCTTAGGGGGTCCAATAGAATGAATATAGTTAAGACTGCACACCCAGATCAAGATAGGAACTTTCAGGCCCCACTTCCACCCCCAGAGGCAAGTCCCTCACCCCCACCCTGCCCCAAGTCTGTAGCCTTCTGGTACTAAGAATAACCTCCATTCTGGCTTCTCATTCCTAATGATCAAAAGTAGACAAGCTACTGCCTGTTTTTTTATACACCAGCTAGATTTCTAAGTTTTTTTCTTCAATCCACCTCAGGGCTTAGTCACAGCACGCGGGAGCTTCCGTTCCCTGGCAAGAAAATCTTTTTCTTGCCACGCATGAGCTCTCTAGTTTTGTCACTCTGGCTTAGTTGCTCTGCAGTATGTGGGGTCTTAGTTCCCAGAACAGAGCTTGAACCTCTATCTCCTTCATTGCAAGGCG